AGACGGGGGGCAGGAGACTTCCACCAGTGACCGATGATGTCCTGTCTGCGATGGGTCAGTGACTGGTTCTGATGGCCCCCAGGGGTTGGACCCCGACCATACATGGCAAAGTTTGTTACTGTGAGTAAGGGGAGGGGAGGTAAAAGGGGGGGGGGGGCGATGATTCAACGGGCAGGTTACGTCTACAGCCAGCACAGTGGGCTGGCAAGCACGCTGATAACAGACTCTGTGAGAGGATGGTGGTGGAGCTGATGTGCGAGTGAAGCAAGTGTTGTCTAGGAATATCCCCAGCGGGTTGCCATCAATCTAGTTGAGTCGATCCTGGTCCGCGATCGCTGCTGCTGCTCCGTTGGCAGGTGGCTAATGGAGATACAGGAGGAGTTTCAGTCTCAGTACACAGAAGACAGCATTTCTCAGTCGTCAAGAGATGGTTGCATGGAATTTCCGGTGAGGAATGAAGTCGCTGTGTTGAGGAGGGAAAGTTTGATTATCGGCGCTGACTGGTCGATGCAGGAATTGGAAGACATGCTATCGAAGTACCAGGTTGATGATGACGATCATGATGACGATGATGATGATGGAGAGGATGATGATGATGGAGAAGAAGATGACGATGATGATGATGATGAGGAGGAGGATGACGATGATAATATCATTTTCTTTCTGTAACAGGACCCAGCGGCAACAGACAAGATTGAAAGACTAAAGCGAGAGATAGATGAAACGAAGCACGTAAGCTGTGGTGGATGCTGAGGGAGAGGGAAGAGCGACTGGAGATAGACGATGAAAGGAGGAGTCGGGAAGCAAGGGAGGGGAGGCAGCAAGGGAACGTGGGGGAGTAGCGGGGGCCGGGAGGTGGGGGAAGATGATGGAGGTTTGGAAAGAGAGAAAAATTCATGACAATCTCTTTCAGATCTTGCAGAAATCTATTGACGCACTGCTAGAGAGGTAAAGATTGCGAGTAAGGCGAATGATGTTTGACTGTCTTGCTCCTCCTCCTCCTCCTCCTCCTCCTCCTTGTTTCGTTTCCGTGCCTTGCGCTGCCAGGGGACAAAAACTTGAAGATCTTGTCCTGCAGTCGAACAAACTATCCCTCCAGGTATACGTCTAGTCCTCTCCTCTCCTCTCCTCTCCTCTCCTCTCCTCTCCTCTCCTCTCCTCTCCTCTCCTCTCCACGCATCGCATCGCATCTGACCTCACCTTCCCTCCCCTTGAGACATGTACTACCTCGCTTTTCTGCCCTTCTCACTTCGTCTACAGACCAAGATGATGTACAAGTCTGTCCGTCAGTCCGCCGGTCGCTCATCCGTCAGCCCACAAGTCAGCTGAAGTTTCTTGCAGGATGGTTCGAAGACTGCTGTGGTATCTTGTAACGGAGCAGGACAAGCCCAATGTTGATATTCATGGATGACATACACGTTTGATACGACGAACATCCATGATGTGCTCGTTTGTCTTTCACTTCATTCATTTCATACTTATCTTGTTCCTATTCATTGACTTTGTTTCTCATTGATACCTCACTACTTTCACGTTGGCTCTTTCTTCCATGTCTTTTATATCTCTCCTTCTTCTCCTCCCCCTCCAGCTCCCTCCCGTCATCCCCTTGCAGTCTCTCCTCCCTCCTCCCTCCTCCCCCTTCCCCTTCCCTGCTCCCTCCTCTCTCACTTTTCGATCTCTTCCTTGGAACCTGGAAGAACAAGCATGCTCACAAGAGCGAGGAGTCGACGAGGCCGAGGAGGTGGCTGTCGCGCTCCACAAGGGAATGTATGAACTCTTGGTCGTTCCTGCCAGGCCAGCGTCATCCTCTTTCCCGCTCCTCCCCTCCCACCTGATGGACGCGCATGCGAATAAGAAAGCAGCGGAGTTCTGCTGGACAGCAGCTGAGACAACGTCGCGATCTCCTCTGGTCGCAGCAAGTTATGAAAGTTTCCCATGTCACGACATGAACGATGACAGCAACACTGGTGGTGATCATGTGGAAGGAGAAGAGGGTGGGGGAGAAATGGGCGGGGAGGGAGCAGAAGGAAGGGGAGGAGGAGGATAGGAGAGTTTTTTCAGGCAGCGATAAGGGAGGGAAGAGGGGAAGGGAGGTGCTGGACAGGGAAAGACAGGAGGGGCAGGGATTTTCTCACCTCAACTCATCGCTCGCGTACTCCAACGCATATCCCCAAGACTTCACGGCGGACATGACAACGTCTCTGCCGCTACGTCACGACAAGCACGCGCTCCCTCTTCTCACCTGTCGTTTCTCAGCTCGTCGCTCGCGTACTGGAGGGCGAGGCCGTTCATGGAGACGGCAGCTAGCACCACGTCCCTTGTCCATCACGTCACAAGGAGCACAAGCACGGGAGCCCCACCTGTCGCCCTGCAGCCTGCTGCTCGCGTACTGCAGCGCGAGCCCGTTCCTCTTGACGGCGTTCAGCATGAACGTGCTGCAAACAGCAGGTCACGACTGACGCAGGAGGCGGCAGAGATCTGACCGATCGCTCCTCGTCTCCTCCGACGCCACCCTGAGGTCACTCATCTTGATGAATCTCTGCTTCTCCGGGGACTGAGCTGCTAAGCATGAGCAAGTCAGAGGTGCAGGAGCAGGAGGAGCAAGGGGAGCAAGGGAGTATGGGGAGCAGGGGGAGGAGCGGGAGGAGCGGGAAAGGACCTGTGCCATGGATCGCTGGGGTAGAGGAGGAATGGTTCAGATCGTGAAAGACTCGCACGTCAGCCCCTCCCAGCGTCACTCTCTTCTCATGCTGCCTCGCAGACGGTGACTCCCGTGAGCTGCTGCCGTCGCTCTTGTAGATTCCTTTCAGCGAGGGCGTTGCACTCGTCGATGAGCTACGGTCATCTTCTTGGACTTCGCGCTCAGCTGGGCCTGTCGCCCCTCCAGTAGCTCCTTGCCTATTGACGCCTCCCTCTCCCTTCAACGTCCCTCTTTCCTTCGGCTCCGTCTCGCTTCCTCGTCCTCTCTTTTCCACATCTACATGCTCCATCCCCGGAGGAGGGGATGGGGGAGCTAGGAGACACTCAGTACTCCCGACGACCACCCCGCCCAGCCCTCCCGACGACCACTCTGGCGGTCGAACAGCACCGGTAGCGGCAGTTGGTGGCTCTACTGCATCCAAAGTTCCTCTACCGGCAGGGCAGGAAGACGCCAGGAGCAGCCCTGCCTGCAGCTCCTTCTCCACGTTGAGCGCGAGACTTTCCACACTTGCAAGCTCGTCGTTGAATCGTCGGAACATCTCCATAGCACTAAGGTTGTTTTCTCTCTCATTCCACAGCAAACTCTCCAGCCTGCTGATGTCCAGCTCATAGATGCTGTTCTTCAGCCGCAGCTTCTCGCATCTTCGCTGCTCAGCTCTCAGCAGAGTCTCTACCTCTCTCCTCCTCGCCGTCTCCTCGCTCAGCTGCACCTGCAGGCTCCTGACCGCATTGTCGATGCCGACCACGTTGCGATGGTGCCATGTCGCCAGGTGCTGATGCATGCTCTCCATCTCCTCGAGGAAGTACTGCACCTCGTCTGAGCCCTGCTCCTGCGCATGCTCGTTCATCCCTCCCTGCCTGAAGTCAACCAGGGGACCACTGTGATGCTTCTGAAGCTGCCCCAGCGATTCACTCCTCCTACTAGTCAGTCCCTGAGGAGTCTCTTTCTCCTCCTCTCCTCCTCCTCTCTTTCTCGCTCCTTCGCTCCTTCCTCCCTCCCTCGCATGCCTGACGGTACGGAGTGCGGCTTGTCAAATCCGACGGGCCCGTTGAAAGCCGGTACCGGCGGTTACGCTGGGATTGCGCCGGTTACAATTAGGGAATTTCAGTTTACTTCTCGGATGGGATTGTTCGGAAAGTTTACTAGAAATGATAATATTAATCAAATTTGACCCAAAATATTGCCATTCGAAAACATTGTCGAATTCCAACAAGAGTTGCACCCGGATACTTCTGCAAATGGCGGGAGACCTGGGAGGGGGGGTGGGAGGGTCAGGTGGAGAGCGGGAGAGCGAGGACGCAGGGATGATGAGGATAAGGATGAGGATGGTGATGATGATGACGACGACGACGGAGAGGAGGAGGATGAGGATGAGAATGAGAATGAGGAGGACGAAGAGGACGAGGACAAGGAGGAGGAGGAGAGGGGGGGGGGGGGGGTAAGGGGAGGAGGACTCGGTCAAGGCTCATAATGAAGGATGAGAGACCACGCGGCAACCGTGTAGATCCCTCCATTGTATGAGATCTCAGGAAGCAGATCAACATGCTGGAGGCGTCTCGATCCTGTTGTTTGCTTCTGCACTAGATCGCAAATGCTGATTATGCCGATCGTTCTCCCTCACGCCTCAGTGACACGTGTTGCCCTGCAGTCACTTGGAACATGCCCATCCCTCGCCACATGCGCTATGTGCAGGGAGATCTGGAGCCAGAGGAGCAGCAGCGGATGATCAAGGAGGCGACGGAGAAGTTGAAGAGCGACAACGACGAAGACGTGAGCTGAAGACCTTGCTCTCGTACTGTGACGTCCTGCTCCCAGATGTGCATGGCGGCGGAGAGTCTGTACCACATGACTTCCTTCACCTCTGGCGTCTCCATCGATAACCACAACGCCATGACGGATTATGACAAGGCTGTCTTCCTGGGGAAAGAATCTTCATCAACGGTAGTTCGTTGGAGTTGCCGAGAGCGAGGGTGGGGAATGAGGATTGTGGTTGGCAGGGCGAGAACGAGGCAGAGCAAAATGGGCCTGTACATGTTGACGGCAGGAGGTACATGATGGGAGACGGATTCATGCTGATGGAGGACTCAACTGAGGTAGCACGGCAGGTTGTCTAGACTGTTTGCCTCACCAGGTGACAGGAGGGAGCGAAAGCAGACAAGCATGCCAGGAGGGTGGCCGTAATGCACTCAAGGAGTTGTATAGACAACAGAGTCGTCATCGGAAAGGTGCGGGCGAAGATTCGATTGACCATGTCTGGTGGTGACAAGGAGTATGAATCAGGTGGAAGGGATCTTTGAAGACTTGGTGAATGTGATGAGAAGAGGTTCGGCGCAAGCTCGGTGAGAAGTTCCCGTCAACATGCTGGCTGTGTTGTGATTCACATTTGCAGGTTTGAGGCGTGTCGAGCTGCATCTCAAGTGATCTCTCTGACCCAGAACGCAAGAGGTGTATGTGACACGTTCAAGATTGCTTTCAGGAACAATGAGAACAAGGTTGCTCTTGCCAACGTCCCGGGGGTCCTCGAAGCGATTAGGTCTGTTGAGGGAGTTATCATCGACTTCAGATTCAAGTTGCGCGCAGGGAAGTCCTGCAACAGGCGTACGAGGACAAAGATCAGAAGTGTATCACGCAAGCATGCAGAGTGCTAGGGGGCATCGTATCAGGAAACAGGTTCTCTCCCTTACATCTCCCCGCTCGTTGCTCGTCGCCCCCTTACCTGTGCCGTATCTTTCCTCTTCCCTTCTTCTTCCTTGTCATTGTCATGGGCAGCAAATCGTGTTTGACTGAGAGCAATGCTGCGGGGAGCTGACTTTCACGGCAGACAACTGCATGAAGCCATCGCCAAGGACGAGAAGTTGATCGGCATGTTGCGCTCGTTCCTAGAGGTCTCTTTGCTTCTCTTCTCTCCTGCGGGCTGACGGTCAAGGTGCCAGCAAGGGGACGAGGAGGCTTCGGGGCAGGCAGGGAAGGTTCTCAACTGTGTATCAGCTCATATCCCGCTATGAGTGTGCGATGGGACAAGAGCAACGCGTCTGTTGAGATTTCACTTTTGATACGGTTTGAGGTGTTTGCATAGTTTGTCATCAGTTTTGTTTTATTCATGACAACTTCGCCTTGTTTGAATTCCATCCCAACAACGTGGAGACAAGAAGCCACAAGAAGGCGAGGACGAGAACCAGCAGAGCTGGGATGAGCATCGGGTACTGGTACCTGCCATCATCTGCCATCAGACCAGAGACGAGCATGCTCTCGAACTTGACCTGTACAACTGGAAGAGATGCACCAAGTAGTACAACATGACCTGCAGCCACGCTCAGCCCTCGCTGTCTTCGACCTGCTGGCTTTCATGACCAACCTTGCCCGTGAGCTTCGAGGTGCCTGCCTCCCGCTTGCCGAAGAAGATGCTCACCTCCTCATGGCTGCTGGACCCGCACTGATAACCGTCAGCTGCTGTCGGGGGATACAGCAGAAGCTGATTCTCACCTTGACGTAGAGCTCGAGCGCGATCTTGAATCCGACAGGATTAATCTTCCCAGCACCACGCTGGAGACAAAAGGAGGCAATGAGGAGAGGAGAGGAAAGACTGAGAAGTTACGAGAGAGAGTTCGAGGACTATAGAGCAAGCGGCAACGGCAAGCACATTGAGGGAAAGGAAAAGAGGGAGGGAGGGGGGGAAGGAAAAACAGGAATGGAGAAGAACGAGAAAAGACATGATGTCGCACCTTCAAGGCTGTTTTTGTTATTCCAAAGAATCCACTCATCGGGTCGCTGCGAGGAAAATCAATCACCGAAAGTTTAGGAGATCGAGCTACAGATAGAGGAGGAGCAAGGAAAAGAGCAGGAGTGACTTGCTTCTCACCTCAGGGGAGTAAGGGGTCTAGCAAGAAGCCTCGCGCCCTTAGAAATGACAACCCTGTACCTGCGTCGCGTCAGCAAGAGCCGCCATGGCCCGTCCTCTCCTACCATGGCCACGAGGGATCAACGGCAAAGCCGTCCCCGTAGCTGTGCAACATAATCAGAATCACGACAGAGGTCGATCGGGACACAAGTCTCTCACCGAGTCCCGAGCACGAAGTCAGCTTTGTCGAGAGCCTGTCAGATGTGTTAGGGCGCAGAGAGACAGGAAGGGTGACGTCGGTGCCTTGAGGAGCTGGGGAACCCTCTCTGGCGGGTGTTGAAGATCTCCGTCCATACATATCTGAAGTGCAGGGTGTCAGCGGAGGGGTCGGAGGGCCCTCGGCTGATGCCCACCAGTTTCTCCCCCTTGGCTTCCTGGAAGCCTCGAAGGACCGCACTCGAGAGCCCTCGCTCGGTCTTGCGGACAAAGATTCTGATCGGGAAGCCCTGCATGCTCCCGGGTGAGGGAGCAGGAGAAAGAGGGGGAGGGGGAGGGGGAGGAGGAGGTGGTGGGGAAGTCTTCACCTCCTTCTGAAGCTCGTTCACCGCCTCCTCGCTACCATCCTGAGAGTTGTCATCGACGATGAGAATTTCTGTGCTCTTGTCCATCCCATGAGAGCGAAGGGCCTTGTAACCAAGTCATCCAACATGCCTCCCCTCCCTCCCAGCCGGCTCACATCCAATAGCCGCTGTGTCAATGGCCGAATGTTCGGCTTCTCCTTGTAGGCAGGGACGACGATGGTAGAAAGAATCTTCACGGAAAGATGTCAAGACTTCAGGGCATGGCGGTCGGTTGTGAGTGACAAACACCTCGGACGACATCTGGTCCGGAGAACTGGCAAAGGCGCAAGGAGCTCCGGAAAACAATGCTGTGAGAACAAAGGAGAGCATCAGCGTTCTGACAGACACAAAGAGCAGGTGTAGGCACTGAGATGAGGTGAAGAAAAGTGCCTCTCCTCCTGCCCTGTCTATCGAATCCTTGGTGTTCTTCCTCATCTTGACTCACCCTCCGATCTCTGCAGATCTTCGCACACAACACTCTCCTCCTCCAACGTCTCTTCCGGGGATCTCAACACACGTGCAGGTGAGATCGGTATCATCACCTGCTAGCAACAAGAGCTGTCTTCCTAGAGCTCCTCCTCCTCCTCCTGCTCGTCGTCTCGTCGTCGCTCTCCCTCGCAGGCGCTCAGCCCCTGCCACTGTCCTCCTCCACCCCCCACCCTATTGGACTACTACCCCTGCCCTTCCCAAGGTCATGTGCAGACTATACCTTAATTCACTATTGTCTCATCCAATAAATATTTGAGCTAAGGGGGTTTAGAATGAAGGTTCCTAGATGGACCCACCCACGTTCACCGTCCGTTCTCGAAAAGCAAGGGAAACAAAGCAGGGGCAGCACATGCGAGCGAAAGGAGCAACGCGAGAGCAGGAGAGAGCAGAGGAGAGGAGAGAAGAACAGACGAGCTCCGTCGCTCATGCTCCGCGATGGAAACAGTTGTACATGAAAGATAGTAGGAGAAGCTGAGTTTGGGGAGAGGTGTATCGATTCCGAGTCTTTGACAGTGATAGCATTTCACAAGATAATACTCCTAGTCTACAAGAAAGAATCAGATGGTGTAGGTGATGTACGCCATGATAGCAATAGTCAAGCAAGGTACTGCCACCAGATACTGGCTCCTGTAAAGATGAGATGTTAGTGATCATGCAAACACGCAGGCACAACACTCACAGTGCTAGCCGCGATACGCTTGCAGGCCAAGTCCCCGTCATGATGGCAAGGGTGCTCAGGTTTGCAGCAGTTGGAACAGAGAATTGCAAAAGAATAACAAATTCGATGAGAGGATCTAAGGAGGGGGCAACAGTCTGCTTGAAGCTGTACACCAGCCCCACCCCCACCAGAGGAAGCAGCAGCAACCTCACGGCGATGATTGAAGCCACCATGAACGGGTGCAGCATCTCGATGTCCTCCTCCTTCTCACCTGCCCCTGCGTTCATGTTGGCTCCCAGCAGGAGGATCATGAGCGGGATGTAGGTGCTTCCCAGCTGCTCCAGGACGTCGAACGCCGGAGCGAGCACAGAGTTGGGGTTGCTGAGCCCGTACTTCAAGAATCCGACGCCACCACACAGAAGTCCGAGAACGGTGGCAACGAAGGGAGGGTTGGGTATCCTTGCGAGAAACTCCTTGGCAAGAGAGACTCGCCTCAAGCTCTTGCGCATTCTCGTGCTCCGTGTCGGGAGACAAGTTTGCGCTTGAAGCGAGACTTCCAGGTCTGCTACGCCGCTGCCACCTTTCTCTGGATCGAACTCCACGTACTGCTTGGGTTGTTTCTGCGATAGGAATGATTCGGTCATCAAGTATTTGCCTACAGTCCAGATCATGATAGTCCCAACCCATAGCCCGAACGCCACCATCCCCTGTGCGTCTGCCAGACAGTTCGCTCCGTGGTTCTGGTACTTGGGGATCTGGCTGTTGCAGGCGGAAGGGACCAGTGCGAGGGGGATCTGGCCGACGTTCCCTAGTGCGCATGAGGCAAGAACTAAGCCTTTAAACTTCTCCGATTTCTGTGGAAACAACTTGAGAAGAATAATGCCACAGAGCAGCCCGGCAGCAAAGTTCAAGCCGACAAAAACAGGGATAGGCCACCACTGGGAGATGATTTGAAGGTCGACGGTTTTTGTAAGCTTGGTGAAGATGAAGGCAGGAAGGAAGATGTTGTAAATCAATCTCGATATTCCCATGATTGAACTCTCCTTGAGAATTTTGCCGTTTTTCCTGGCACAGAAAGCTCCGACAAATGCTATCAACAAAACCTTGATGACAGGAATGCATGCTGCCTGAAGCACCACCTCAAATCGTGGCATATCTATTGTGTACCTTAGTCTTGACTGACTATCCAGCTGCTAGTTGGTTGGCATCTTGCTATCAAACAACACTCTTGGCGCAAACAACGATGTCCTTTCGAATCCCAGCAGCCCCGAACGAATGGCTCGATAACAGAAGCGAGGGGGAAAGCGGAAGATAGGAGGACAGATGATGTACAGATAGGCTGTGTGAAGGTGAGGGGGAGTGAGAGGGGGGTCTCGATACAGATAGAGCTTGACAGAGGAGGAGAGGAGGACTGGAGGAATGCAAAAGGGATGGGACAAGACACATAAAAGTCATTTTTATCTTTATCCCCCACCCCCTCCCTTGTCTGAGGGGGTACCCACCTTGCAGTCATTTTCTAGCGGTCTGTGAAACGGAAGCGAGGGGGTAGGGGTGTTGGGCAGGTGTGCACAAACGAATCCAAATATGATCTCAACTACCCCTTCAAATAGTACCCTACCCATCATTTCCAACAGAATTCTATTGTCAACTACCCACGTTGCCAGAACAGTTGGTACCCCTACCCACTATGGCACGGACCCCAACCCCTAAAATCACAGCAGAGGAGGAGGTACATCTTTACTACATAATTCTGTCCATAAATGGTGGCAAGAACGTGACAGAAATTTGCAGAAGGGTATATATACTAGTTGGATCAAGTCGCTGATAACTCGGCGGCTGGTCAAGGTGTATATCACCCCTACCTTTTTTGTGTCAGATCGGAAAGCTTCATCTTGTTTTGCCTCTAATCTCCGCTGTTCAATTCCAAACGATGACATGCATTATCGAGAGCCTTCTGAAAGAGAGTTGTGACCGCCGGCAGGTAGCATGACCCCCCTTGACTTTCCCATGTGGTTCTGGCTCAAAGGATGGGTAGGGGTCATCATTTTGTAATGTGAATATCTGGCTACCAGTCCACTTGACCGACAAAAGGGGGGTAGTCAACCTCTGAACCGGTCCCGATGGACTGGACGTAGCGATTGGGCCGGTGGGGGTAGGTGGTAGGTTGCAGGGTGTCTTGGTGCCTTTCCACCCCTCCTTTCCTAATGGAAATGTAGAGACCAGATGGATAGTTTTTCGAGGTGGGGTGTGGGTCATTGGGAGGCACATCGGTCGTACAGGAGGGTGGGGTCCGGACTCCGGACTTGTACTCACTGAGTGCAAACAGTAGGCAACTACCCCTATGAAGTAGGGGGTAATCGATGGGTTATATGGGGGTAGGTACTGGGAGAGGTAGTGGGATGTTGGGTGTGGGGTGTACAGGGGTGGGGTCAGCAATCAAGTTTTGAGTGAAGCAGAATGCGGCGCTGGGGGCGGGGCCATAGAGCAAACAGCGAGGAAGAAGAGAGGAGAAGGGGAGGATGATGAGGTTGGGGTGGAGGGGAGCATGGTAGGAAGCAAAGCAGGGATGGGGGCTGGGGAGCGCCGGGAGGATGGCAGGAGAGTGGCGTTGAAGGAGCCTCAAAGGGACTTGTGAATTATCAGTGTGTGAACTTGGAGAGGTTTGAAGGCATCAAGAAATGTGATGAATCGAGAGAGTGGTGATAGTTCTAGACTTGAAAGAGATGAGTTCTAACCCGAGCCTGGTGATAATCTTCTTTTGGCACATTACTGCTTTTCCAGACCTTTGTAAATCTGGGATTTCAAGGTATCTACTCTTGTCTGAATTCCACAAATGCAAGCGGTACCAGCATTATATCAACAAAGCTTCTTACGTTCTGAAATCCTTCACTTGGACAGAGTAACTTGGAAAGGCTTAAGAAGCTCCAAGCTGGCCTTTCGAGTGACTTAGCAGTCGTAACGCGTACGTTGTCTGGATCCAAGCAGTGAGTCACCAATGGTCGCAATTAAATTGATCTACAACCAACAAAACCTCTGCAGAATCTTGGAAGATGCAGAGCAAACAGTCATCAAATATTTCGCTACCGTCCCGACAGACGAGGTACGTCTCCTCTTCCTCTCCTCCCCGTCCACTCTTCACCGTGACTGACCCCCTCCTCCTCTCCTTGTCCTCCCGCTCGCTGTCCTCCTCGCTCTTGACTCCTCGCGCTCCCTCCCCCAGTTGTCATCCAAGATCGCCTTCACCTTCAAGCGCTTCGACTCCGATCAAGGCGGCTTCCTCACGAGGTATCGCCACTCCGCTACTGTCTGACGCAGCGAGCTGACGAGATCCAGGAATGACCTGGCGAGGGCGTTTGCGTTCATGGGGAAGCGGGTGAGCACGGAGGAGATCGAGGCGTTGATGGACATCTACGACACCAACCGGGACGATCACATCGACTCGGTGCTTGCCATGGACGCTGCGAGAGGGGGGAGAAGCTGATGGGACTGCATGGGTGGCAGGGGGAGTTTGAGCACATGGTGCGGGTCAAGCTCAAGATCCCTTGCAAGCCCGACTGTCGACAATGTAAGAAGATGTTCTCGTCTCCGAGCAGCAGGCCGGGAACATCCGACACGAGCGTACGAAGTCCGTCGGTGGTTTGCAAGTACGATTGCGGTTTCACGGGGACGGTAAGGCAGGTAGCAGAGCATGAGTGTAGCTGCCCGCTGGCTCCCTCATCGTCGACCTCCAGCCCTGGGACTCTTGCGAATGGTCTCACTCCTATCTCAAGAGTTTCCTCTAGTCCTGGAGGATTTTCTCACGACCCACGAAGGCGAAACACTTTGGCCTTAGCTCGTCGGAACTCAAAATTTCTCGGCGAAGACGAAAACGATGATTCTTTGCAGAATCGCGTGAAACGATTAGAGCACACAATTTCGAGCCAAGAGATCTCGATATCGCGGACGCTCTCGACAGGAAGCAGGTAGGTCATAGTACTCCCGAATCTGCTCCCTCCCTCTCTCCTTTACAGTCTCTCTCTCTCCTTGTTCACAGCCTCTCTCTATAAGCCCTCTGCGATGCTGTCTGTGCTCGCTCATTCCTTTCCTGCCCTCAGCGTCCTGGAGCAAGCAAGCTCAGTTTTCTTCGGAAGGCTGAGCGGCCTGTCGCCAGAGAAGGTGGGCGGCTCTTCTCTCAGGGGCAGACGCTGAGCCCCTTGGGTTGCAGTTCGCGCAGAAGGTGCAAGACTTGTTCAAGTCCATCGACGTCGACGGGTCCAACTCGCTCTCTCGGTACCATCCGACCTGCCGGTGAGAGGGAGGGAGTGACTGGCGTAGGTCGGAGCTGCATAGCGCGTTTGCTCGGATGGGGCATGCCATGTCGAGCGAGAGCCTGGACAAGTGGATAGCGAGCTGCGACTCGGACGGGAACGGGGAGCTGGACATGGTGGGGAGGAGGGAGCCTGGAGGAAGGCAGAGGGACGACTGAGAGGTGTGTGTTGCAGGAGGAGTTTTGTCACATCGCTTGCAAGGTGAACAAGTACCGCTGCCCGGCCACCTGTCCGGTATGCAAGCGGTCACCGGAGAAGGACGTGGACGACGACAAGGCTGCGGAGGAGAAGCGAAGGCTCAACTACGCTCAGCTGATGAAAGAAGTCATAGAGCCAGTGTGCAACCTCGCAGCGATCTACATCAAAGCGCAGGACGCAGACTTCGACTTCAAGACGATCGAGCCCTTCATGGAGATCGTGACCTTCAGCGACGGCAACAGAATCTCCAAGAGCGGCAGCCTCACGGAGTCCATCATCTTCATCCTCCGCGGGCGGGTGGAGAAGCGGAAGAACAACGTCAAGCTCTCCATGCACAGCCGAGGGGATCACTTCGGGTCGCAGGAGATCCTAGAGCACAGGCCCCGACCGCACGACCTGATCGCTTGCGGGGCGTGCACGTGCTCGCAGCTGAAGCAGAGCCATCTGAAGCGAGCTGGGGTGATGCTGAAGCAGCTCGTGGAGCAGTTGGAACACACGATGCTTGATCACAGGCCGAAGGAGGCGGAAGCGACGTCGACAGTCTCACATGGGGGCAGTACTGGCAGATCGGAACACGTTGTAGATGAGAAGGTGGTTGCTGTAGATTCTCCAACCAGCTCGAGGATCAAGGACGTACTGAGTCAAGTTGGGTCCCTGCTGACTCGCGTGCCCTCCTTGAAAGCGACCAACGCCACCCTCTTCGGCTCCCTGAGCGGGTTGAGCGGGATGGAGGTATTGACATTGACTGATCCCCTACTACCTTCTTTCCCTCCCTCCTTACCTCTTGCTCTCCCGGTCCCTCTCCTCCCTCCTTGTCTGCGCCCTCGCTCCTACCTCCTTCCTCCCTGACCTGGGGTGTTGCAGTTCTCTGCCAAGCTCAGAGAGATCTATGACGTGATGGACGCGGACAAGAGCGGCAAGATCGACCGGTAGAGTAGCACACGCAGCGGGGCGCGAGGGGCTGACGGGGAGCAGGAACGAGATCCAGGATGCTTTCCGCAAGATGGGGAAGGAGATCTCGGATGAGACACTGGACAGCTTCATCGAGCAGACGGACGTGGACGGGGACGAGCAGATCGACCTGGTGAGAGACCAGAGAGACGAGCGGAGGAGGGAGAGGAGGAAGTGACGGCGAGGGCAGGAGGAGTTCGAGCACCTTGCGAGGGCGCTGTACGAGCTTGACTGCGTGGAGGGCTGCAAGGTCTGCCGGATGTTCCCTACATTACAACGTGAAAAGAAAGCAAAGATGAGAAGCATGATAGAGACGGTGAGGCGCGGGAGTGTGAGTGAGGCTGTGACGGAGAGTCTGCAGTCGAGCCTGCGAACTTTCTCGACGACGCTGATGGACGGGTGGGCGCTACAAGATCAGCTGAAGGGGATGATCGATGATGGTTTCACAAGACGGTACTCTGCATCTGAGCAGATGGAAGATATTTCTGAATCGGTTGAAGCTGGTCGCGATCCGTAGGAAATTGCGCGTAGAAGAAGAACGCATTGACTTGTTCGGCAGGTCGATCACGTTTCCCCTTTCAAATCCATTGGGGCCGAAAGAATACCCGCTGCCGCCATCTGCGGATTTCAAACCTGTTCCACCCACAGGTCAGTGAGGCTAGTTGGTTGGTAGGAGGTGGACAAGAGTCAGAGACGTGAGGTGGAAGAGGAGGGGATGAACGCTGCGAGAGAAGAGAGAGGCAGTTTTTTACATTTCGCCTCAGGAGGAAATGATGGTATTTGATTGGACAGACTTATCCAGATTGATTGTGTTGCTTTCTTCTGGGTGTCTGTTGGCTTGCCTGCCTGTCCCTTTCCGTTTTATCCATGCTAAGCAAGTTTTTTCGTTGGCATAAGTGTACTGACAATCATCTCGCGTCAGAGCCGAAGCTCGAGAGCAGAAGGGATCGGTATCAGCGCATGGCAGACGAGCTTAAGATGGAGTCAGCCAAGATGCACAACAGAAGGAGAAACTCCGAGCTCCATGTGAGTCTCTTGTGCGAGGCCTGTGCCCGCCTGCTGACGCTGCTGCTGTCTTGCTGTGACTGCAGCACATCGAGTTCCGCAACAAGATCGACAGGGACATCAACTTGGCCAAGAGCTACGAGAAAGGAGAGGTAGGAGAGGGGAGAGAGAAGCGAGAGGAGGAGGCGGGAGGGGGACTCGGGAGGAGGAGGGGGAGGGTGCCTGACGGTGCTGGCAGGGAGGGTCGGGCATGACGCAGGCACAGCAGACAGCGAATGAGCTTCTTCAAGAGTTTGAGAAGGCGAAGAAGCTTGGTTTTGTGAAAGAGACATGATGTTTGTACACTAGTAAAGCATATGTTGGTTCAACGGGTGAAATCCGCGTTTTGCGTACGGTCTGTGTTTGATCATCTGCCGAGACGGGCACCACTGGCTCAGTCCTTTACTCAAAGTTAGTAAGTAAAAAATCAGTACGAGGACAATGAAATTCAGAGTCTCCGTCAAAACCGTACCTTGGGGGCAGCAGATTGACATAGGCGGAAAGCTCAGTGGCCTGAGGGCAGAACTCTTAGCAGACCCGCCTCAGTGCATTTCTGCCAGCAGTGACCCCGATGAGTCACGTCCGCTCGGCCCCCACCGACAGGACCGGTCGTGTCTCCCCTAACGCCGGGGAAGGGGGTATACAAAAAATTATATATATGTAAAAAACCCCCCCCCCTGGTAGGTCTTTTGACGCTAGTTTTGACGCATTCCGGAAATGTGATTAAAATTGGAGTTAATTCGTCCTTTTCGACGTTCTCGTGGTGGTCTTTAAGTGAATTTTTGGAAGTTTACTGATAATGAAAATTTCAACTTAAGAGGAAAAAATGAGGCGTTGAGAATGGTTGAAATTGAGCACTTGAAAACAGCAAATGTTACAGATTTTTGAATAGATTTTTTGAAAAAGGAGAACAGTAAAAAGTGCAGCAATTGAATATTTTTTATTGAAATGCATGGATGTATGGGTATTTATCAAGAGGGAATGTTACTAAAGGTTGATAACGGATGTATTTAGATTCGGATGTGGCTGTTTGTATTTGAGTTTGTTGTATGTCAGAGTGTTGTTGTGTAGTACAGAGTAATATGCATGATAGGATGAAAATGAAACAAGCGATAATGAAAATACCACCGATTGAGACAATCAGTAGTTCGTTTTGTGTATATGGTTGTGAAGATTTTTTATCTGTAAAAGGATCGAAGAGCAACCAGGCCATTATTGCAACCAATGATGTTACAGTTATTGGGAGGAGAAGTTGGAATTTTGATAAGGATATTATTTTGGAAGAATAGAGAGATAGAATTAAAGGCAGAGCGAGGAAGAATATTGCGATGATAATGTTTGAGAGGAACCAATGTAATAGGAATGGCATATTGAGTTTATCCTGTGAATCCTGTCTTCTTTTGTTTATGTTATTTATGGGTGCTGGTTTGTAGTACCAAGCAGTGATTGCTGTTAGCCAGAATAGAAAGAATAGTATGTATAGTATTATAGTATTGTATTTTGATTTGTTGGTTTTTGCTTGTGTATTTTGTTCAGATTGTGATGTGGGCATGATGATGGTAGTGTTGTGTGGTTAATAATTTATATGTATTGGAGTACGAATCGGAGAATGTTGTTGTTTTATGTGTGTTTTTCGGGATGGACTGTCAGATTTGTTTGTTGCTTATGTGTGATATCGGGAAATCATGTATTTTATGTTAGTTTTGTTGTATATTACAATAAGAATATGTAGTTTATGTCAAGTTTATTATATATTACAATAACAACTTATTTTTGTTTATGTTTAGATTTATTCTATTAGATTATTTTATGTTTGATTTATTGTATTGTTTTTGAAAAATATGATCTAAATTGCAGAGTTTGTTTTCGTTTTTAATGATAGCGTTGGTGATATTAGCCATCAGCTGTTTGCCATTGCTATGGACTAAAATCGGTGTGTTTTTCTTCTTTTTCATGTTGTCATTGAAAAATTGATGTGTGTACAGTGTTTGCTTTATATACTTTACAAAAATCATTTTGTCACCAATAACGTGTATTTGATTTTTAACGGTTTTGTAACTTCCGTAACGTTCGTTATTCATAACGGACATATAACGACTTTCCTAGCTTGTGTTTATAAAAGGACTCGAGGTGGGAAGGGTTTTTTTGTGTGGGATTGCGATGAGCGAGCTTGCGGAGAGTTTGATTGGTGTGGGTGTGGTGAATGAAAGTGTGGTTTCCGAGTCTGATAAGATTGTGATTGAGAGTCTTGTTTGTATTTCGGGAGTTGGGAGCAAACAAGTGCGAGCTCGAGCAGGGCAGACTATTTGGAAGAAGTCGTATCGGAGCATTTTGGAGAACTTCAATGAAGTGCAGAGTTTGAAGGTTTTTGGTATGGATGAAGTGAGCCGGCGGTTCCTTCGAGAGCGATATTTGAAGAGCCAACGTATGAAGAACAAGAACCGTACTTTTTGGATGTTTTTGGAGCTTTGCCAATGGTTTGGATTGGTTGAGTTGGAGCGTGACGAGAGTGTGTTGGAAGGGAGTATAATGGATGGTGGTGAGATGAAGTTGCAACTGAATGGATTTCTTGGTATTACGAAGATTACTGTGAATCAGCGTTATGGGTGGACTTTTTTGAACCGTCTTATTTTGCTGAAGCGTGGTGAATGGCAACGGATTGGGGTGAATGATCTGATTGAGAAGGATTCATCGCTGATTGGCATTGAGTATGGGGAGCAGCATACTCTGAATAATCTTTTTCGGACGCTTGGTTTTGTTCCTGAGTTCTATGGGGAATGGGCAGGTGCGTATGAAGGTCTGTGTTGTTTTCGGCGGAATTAAAATTTTTGTGATGACTTTAGCTTTGGTGTTTTTGGAGTTTGATTTTTATCAATTGCTTTTTGGTATATTAATAAACTGATTGTGTGGAAAGGTTGTATTTGTGAGAGAGTGGAATTATGAGTGATTGGATTAAGAACCGATACCGTGAGGATACTAGTTCTCTTGTGTTGAAAGCGCAGAGTGAGCTGAATCGTTTGAAGAAACAGATGAGAGGGTTATCAGATGAAGATAAGAGTGTTATATGCATTTGCCTTGATATTATCCGGGAGTTTTGTTTAGAGATTGTTATGGGGCATGTTACGGATGGGGGAGAGCGTGTTAAAGAGCTTTTGGGGACTGTTGCTGCAATCT